TGCACCCTTGTCCTGGGAACGGCCGCACATGCTCCTGCTTCCTGGTTTGTCTCACGACTCCGGAAGTCCGAAAGTCCCTGGCGCTGCCGCAGCGCGTCCTGTCGGGTCCGCGGCCAGGACTCAGCTTTGCTCTTCCCTTCCCAAGGGCACTCAGAGAGTCAAAGGTTTGCATTCTGAGAAAGCCCCATTTTATCCATTTTCTTCCTCATGGGTCATATTTTTATGAAGAATCTAAAAATTCCTGACCCTGGGACCAGCAGGTGGAGTGAGGGTTGGGGCGCTAGATTCCCACATGACCAACTGCAGTTCAAGTCCTGGACCTGGCCACTTTAAGGTCATGCCAGGCACGTGTGTAGGAGCCCAAGATCCCGGGAAGAGAACGGAGGAGAAGGGATTGAGGTGTGACCATCTCCCCAGGGAGTTAATGCTCACTTACCTCTCACTGCCACTCTCCCACAAAAACACGCCCTGAGGGGTGGGGGGTGGGGGAGACTTACATAAAAATCCCCAATTTAGCTCCATAGTGCAAAGACGGTCTAGTTTGTATTCTGAAATTATTGTAGCTCTGCGGCCCTCCTGAGTGAATCTGCACGTGTGAGGCTTAGGCTAAGGGTCTGTGTTTTGTTGCTTGGGATTTTTTTGTCTTTTGTCTGTGGATGCCCAGCTGTGATAGCATCATTTTTGGCAAAGATTCGGACTTACTTGCTTCAGTACAAGTGTCTGGGATACCTGTAAACCCGGCTGAGCACATCTCTACACACGTCCGAGGGTCCCTCGCCTGTCTGTGCTCTGACCTGTGACTGTCCACGGGCCAGCACTAACCACCTTGACCGCTGTGGCCACACGGTCAGTGCAGAATCATGTGGTCCTCATGTCCTCACGCCGTTCCCGTAGACGAGGTTGACGCCGACGGGAGACACGGGCGTTCGCGTACTCACCTTGCGCCCTGGCACCCGGGGCACTTGCTGACGGGTTCTCGAGTTTCCCTGTCCGACTCTCTGGACTTCCTACGGGGTAGCCGTGCCGTCTGTGAACGGAGACAGGCTCGTCTCCTCCTCGGCTGTCTTTCGGTCTTTTACTGCCTTTTAATGTTAATCCGTATTGCACCGGCTAGAACTTTCTGCAGAGTCAAGTACGAATCGTGAGAGGGGACGTCCTTCCAAGTCCCTGCTGTCTGTGGGTCAGCAGCCAGTGTTCACCGCGGGGATAAGGCCCGCGGCCAGCGTTTCGTCGGTGCTCCTCATCGAGGCGTGAGCGTAACTCCTGTTCCTCCTCTTCTGCGAGTCTGTCTTCCAGGGTGTGGATTCGGTCAGGTGCGTTCTCTGCATGGTTGCTGTGATCTGTGGGTCCCCACCTCATCTGTTAATATGGTCGGTTGTGGCGTGTCAGGCCAGCCCTCCTTCCCTGGCAGGAGCTCCCTCTGTCCGCAGCGTACACTCTGGAAGGCTGCCATAATGCCGTGAGTGTCCAGGGCTCGCGCCTGCCTTCACACAGGGTCCAGATCTGAGCTCTCTTCAGTGTCGCTGGGCCGGGGGCACCGCCCCTCCCTTCGTGCTCCAGAGATGGTGCAGAGCTGGAGCTGGCTCTTAAACACTTGGAAGAGGCTTTCTGCAAAACCACCAAGACCTGGAGAATTCTTCTGGAAAGAATTTCAGTTACAAATGCAACTTCCTTACTAGTCCCAGGATTCCTGAACTGATGTTCATCGGGTAAGTGGTGGCAGGGGTTTTTTTTTTTTTTTTTTAGGGGGTTTTTTTTTTGTTT